TATATATATATATATATATAGTTTTATGCATTATCACATTTATGTGTTTTCCTGGGTTGGGCGGTCGCGCAAAGTGAAGCGCGTCATCGATCGTAGCGCACACGTCACGTTCTGATGGCCAAAAGCGGTACCTTAGGTATTCTCAAACATGTTTGCCGGGTCTCGTGCTGACCGTCCATCATCACGCGCTCACTTACCTTCTAAGCGTTTCTGCTGTCTGCTTGCGTATTTCTGTAGTTATAGACCGTTCAGCCGCAATCTTCGCACGTGCCAGTGTACCAAAATATAACTGCGTTGTACATCCTTCGCCATCACCGTACTGTGCCATATGTATAACCCTCATCCACACCATCATAAAAAGAATCTGCGTAATAATTATACGTTGTTTTTTTTCTAATATCCTCAGCATTAACATTAGAAAAAATCAGAGTTCATATTGGTGGCCAAAACATGTTTCTATCTGCGGTTGAAGAGCAAATCTGTTTGGCTTTTGCCTATTTTCAACTTTCCAAATGAGCGAACAAAGGCGTCGTGTCAGCATAATTGGCGCGAGCAGATAAAAGCAAGTTTCTTATCATGGCAACAGTGTAGGTAAACCACCATAGAGCGTCGGTTTTTCTCATTGTAACGGAGTTACTGCAGTTCCCTTCGTAATGGTTGTTTTCGCTGTTGCATCAATGTCTTGTTCTGCTATTCTGTATCTAGCATCCGGTAGTCGTATGCTGTGAACTATATGACCTTGCGCCACGTTGCGAGGGCCATTTCTTGTATTCGGTAATGAATAATCTTGATTGGAGGGCAAAAACTCTGAACTGGACGCGGTTTTTCGGTAGATATTTACAGTTTCTCAATTTCCAGATTAGAAGCTGTCGACAACATCAAACAGCTTTCGTTCGAACTCAAATAACCGACAGAGCCATTTATACGCCGTGCCTATCAACGTCTAGATCAAATTATCTAGGAAACATGATCGAGTCCACTTCGTGTAAAATATTGGTTCATCTTCGGATACGGAAAGGGAACCTGCATGTTCAGTCTGATCTGTTTCAGCGTTGACCGTTATTTTGCTATCTATTAGGAAGAGAAAACGGAAAAAAAGGAACAATTTGTTACACTAATGCCGAAGGTCCTTTGTTAGTTTTTCGTTGCGGCGCTTTAGTAGAAGGGGTTTACGTTTAGTAGAAGGGGTGTCTTGAATCAGTATTTCGCTGCGATATTGTTTCCTCCTGCTTATTGTACTGCTATTTGGTAATGGCTTGAGGTTTTGAAAGTATATCTCATGTATGTCTCATGTACAATTTAAGACAGTGTGTCGTAGAAACGTATAAATAATTGTAATTTTAGTCTTTGTTTACATATAATTCATATTTAATTTGCAAAATATGTGTACATAAAGCCTATATGTAGTGTAAATATCCAAAATGAATGATTAGGATTCGGGTCAATATACTGCTGATGACGGTGGGCTCTTGGTTCACAAACTTCAACAAAAACTTTACTTGCTTTTTTGCTCCATTGAGGCTTCCTGGTCTTCGAACATCGTTGGTTTTCAGACGTAGACTTCATCTTTGAGGTATTCCCACAAAAAAAAGGTTTATTGGCGTCAGGTCCGGGGAACAGGCATGGCATTTGATGAGACCTTTCCATTCAACCCTTCTGTTTGAAACATTCTCATCACGTCATCATTACATCACGTTAATAGCGTGCAGGCGTTCCGTTCTGTTGAAAATAAAATTTGCCATGTTCTCCAAAGTCTTCCCGAATACGTGGTATAATAGATTCTTGTAGTAAGCTCATTGGCGTTAATCATCGTACTACCGAAAAGGAATGGTCCGTTTCACCGAAAATTGCGGAACCAAACTGTGAAATTTACGTAAGGTTCGTGTAACGTATGAACTTATAGTTGCTTTCGTTTGCGAATCAATTTGAATGTAACTTGATATTCCAAGTAATCTTTCCCGAAAACTGTTAGTTTCTTTGGTCCGGATCATAGTTTTTGAAATGTAACTTTTCTATTCACAACGTCTTAAAACGCGATGGACACTTGATATGCCGACGCTAAGCTCACTTTGATTGTCTTACAGATTTTGGAAATGTCGCCGCGATAACTTTGCCGTAACTTTTTTTGCTCGTCGATGTTCTTGCTCTTTCGGGACGTTGGTTATAAACGTTCCGTTTTAGACTTGTCTTTGGTCTGATTAATCGTATGTGGATCTGCCTGAAACTTCTTGTAATATTGTCTTTATACTTACGCTACATGTTCATACCTTCAATAAAATAAATTTTCTTTTTTCAAAAGTTAATCTTGGTCCGCTCGTTATCTCCAATGAATTACATTCTAAAGAGAATGAACAATGAGAAACTTTTAACCCGTTAAACCGTATATATACATTTTGGGGCACTATGTATTCTTAATCGTATTCAGCCCACCGCGTTCGATTCGATGTTGTTCTACCACATCCATAACTGCACCAGGAAATCCAGCTGCTATATATAGAAGCTAGTCGGGCAGTTAATGGATTGAATTCTCATTTCCTTTGACCTAAATCCTTATCGTCTCAGTCATGATGCAGCACCCATCACTATATCGTTTACAAGATGCCACTGGCTTTTTCCGTTTATTATCATCATTCGAGTAAAAGAACCTGAACGCAGCAACGTAGAGTTCTTGATAAGGCTATTTCCGAATTGAGCAAAAAAATGAGGAGACCTTATCATTTACAGCCGTCAACCAGTGTGGCTCGTATTAAGACGCGTGGGCACGGGGGCGGGTCTCCGCTGTGACACTGGGACTTAAATAATGCATAAAAAAGAGGTTAGTAAACGGCAAGCCCCCCGCCCATTCTGTCGAGTCACATTCAGAGGAGCTACTCTCGACTCGGTCAGCCAGCCTGGCCTGCTTGCTTTTCTATCTTGGTTATTTGCGGTGGTTCCATGGGGAGCCGTAGATGAGCTTCATTCAATGTCTGCCAGTGTATTAGGCGCCGACCTTCGATGCTGCGCTGCGTCTTTCGGCTCAAGTACTTCTAGATTGCTTCTCCTCCATTTTTACGTCACTTGCTCTAGGACGCTCTTCATTTCTTATGTCTTTTTCATCCTTTGGCTGCCTCTGCCGTGACTGCCATAGCTACAGTTCCTGGTGCGGACAGCGCCTTTGCAATTTAGCACTCAGATATCGCGGCAAAAGTTATCAGTGTCATAGTAATCCTAGTAAGGTTAATAAATAGGTAAAAGGTAGTAACAGCGCCAAGCCCCAGGCCTATCTAGTTAGGACGGAGCGTCCATTTGCTTAAGCGTCCACCGACTATGACCGGACTACGTCCACGCTTCATCTAATGTTAACGAAACGGCCGGCGAGGTCGGTTCAGGCAGCAACTCTTGCGGCGGCTGAGCCATCACCTGCTCGCCAAAAGCCTCTTTCACTAGAGCTCTACAATAATGTTCTATTCGTCCCTGTAGACGCTCTGTGTCTGGTTGACTTTACGAGTGGAAGATGTCCATGTGGGTTTTCCTTGCTGTCTTTGAAAATATCGTCACCGAGGCCATGCGTTGGCCGGCTTCTGGGTTGGTTTTCTCTTATCGCTACCGCGAAGACTGCTTACCGCTTTCAACTAGCTCGCTCTGTTTTCCCATAGGAACGTTCCTGACTGTTTCCCAACAACTTCTCCAATAGTAACGTTCCTATGGCTGTTATCACTCGGCAGCAGCAGCCGCTTTACCGACTGCCTCCATGGGCTTTTCTCAGTCCCCCTTGCTCTTTACCCTTCTTTAATTTGCTCTCATCCAGTTCACTCTATGTACACATACGCCTACACAAAGAATCCTACTCTCCGACTGTCCCCGATTTCGTATTCTTCTAACCGTTCGGGCAGCGCTGCCGGTCTCGTAACCATACGACCGACGCTAGCGGCAAGAAAGCCACACGACTGGGGAGCACCGAAAGAGCCGGTCAGAGTGAGCATGATGCGACGTGGGTCGAATCGGCGATTCATCGACGTAAACGTCGGCTTCTTTCGTTCTTTTTTCTCTCTCGAATTCTAGTGACCATCCCGTGAGTCGTGGCGTTAAGGTCGCCCGGGAACGGACCCTCCAATGCTACAGATCACTGGAAGCTGTAGAAGGTGGCAGCAGGCCGCAGTTTCGGTAGCACCGTCGCTAGTGAAGGTCCGCTGCTCAGTGCTTGCTTAGAGACGGCCACGCACACTTGTACACGTACATACAGACAAAGACTCACAACCCCAGAGGCACACAAGCAGCTGGCTGGAGTGGGGACTGACTATACTACCGTCACACCATTTACCGTTCACATCCACCGACGGTCGGATCAGTAGCTCGTTAGTGTCACGGTGGTGCGAACAAAAGGACGTTCGTCAGTTTGCTCGTCCATCCCCGGGGTAGCACTGTCAGCTCAACTTCAATCCAGACTTCGAGGGCCAGAGCGCTCTCTGAGGGCGCCCTGAACCTCCTTCTACCAAAAGTCTTCGACCTTTTACCACTGTCATCAACCCGCAGTTTCTCTGGTACCTGCGCGAATCGGGGGTGCTTTTGTCCGCCATGCTCGGCCTTACTTTGTCTGCCATGCCCCTGACCGCCGTCATTGCAGCCTTCTTGCCATCACCGACAAGCCATTATATTCATAATCACATACTGTATTTTTAGGAGACTAGCTTTCGCTAAATGCCTCGTGAGACATTACGAGGTTTAGGGTGTTACTCCATTCCTTTTTCGTCTTCGTTGTCCTTTAAAGCTCTTCGCCGTTCTCCTTTTTTCCCGTTCCTTTTTTTCACCGCTGTCAGCTATTCCACCGTACGGCGTTTTCCGTCCGTTTGTTTCTACTTTTATGCATTTGATGTCCGAGACATTATTCGTCTGCGTTTCGTAGATCATCGCGTCGTCGCCAGTGAAGTAAATGCCAAATGTATTCTTCGTTCTCATTCCTTTGGATCGTGTCCATGGCAATGTTAATCACTCGAACAGACGTTTTTTTTCGCTATATTATCTCGTTTTGTCTTTTTTTTTTGCGTCGTGTTTACCTTTTTTTTTTTTACTTTTTTTATGGCAGTTTGGCGACCGGAGTCACAGAGAGGCACGAATCTTTAAACATTTTTCCTGACCTTTGCCGAAAATCATTGTCCTCATATATCCAATACCGTCCAATATCGTCAACTTACGTGACAGCGTCTCGACCGGTAGATTTTACCGTCGTTGAACCATTGACACGCGCCCTCCAAAAGCATCCTTCTCCCGTTAAGCTTTTAGAATACATGTTGGTTCTTTCCTGTGTTCAATATATGTGTGTACTCTGCGGTATGATTATCTGTTATGTGCCATTTACCATGAGAGTTAATCCGTAGCAGACTACAACCTAGACAAGTCTCTCGGCGAGACTAATTAGCCCTAAATACTCCTTATCTTGTAAGGTTAATTGTGTTGATGACTTTTATCTAACATATTTACGGTCGGTTACTGGAGCATAATTCATCGAGCAACGTTGAAAAGATTAGCTAGTTGTTGTTTCAAAGATGTGCCACAGTTAGCTTTGCCAGCATATCCTGATGATGCTTGTTCTCGAGCAGCGCATACGGTAACGAAGCGGCTAGCAGCACAAACGACAGCACAAGGAGCGAGAAGGAAAGGCACAACGTCGACGAGGCGCCAAAGGCGACGGTCATACCCACAAAATGGCTCATAAACATTGCTGAGAACGGCGCTTCCCAATGCCACTCAAATGATCCGCTTAGATACGCTGAAATAAAAAAAAAAAAAGAAGAAGAAGAAGAAAGAAGATAAGCAACGGAAAGGAAAACGGTAAAATAAGAACGGTTAGTTAGTATAGCGATTCAGGTCTGGTCGACATGAATAGACGGCTGCTATTAGTAATTGTGGTTAAGTTTACGATACTGAAACGACCCATCGCATGCACATGCACATTGCCATGTTAGCGGCTGAAACAGGAAGAGTGCCTAGAAAACCGATGAGCAGCGATCTATTCTGCGCTAAGTTTGATGGTTCGATAGTCTGACGGGTCCAATGCGGCAGTCACATAGTACAGAGGTGCACGTGTTTGTTCTTTATTGAGAGCAACGTGTTCACGTTACGAGCGATCACTTATGAAGTTCAAAGGCACTGAAAGTTGAACACTAAAGTACGTATACAGCAATGCGTCACAGGACGAACTACAGCCTGTTATCTGATTTGTAGAACACAACGTATGTATAATGATAATTGTAAGCGCTATGTTCGCAAAACAAGCATTGGATAGTGTTTCTAAGTGCCAACACGGCAAACAGGACGTGTCTCCCTGTCAATATACATGATCATCAAATCAGGACTGATTTACACTATTATATTTATTGAAAGAGAAACAGGATCGTAGCTTTGGTTCGGGTAAAAACTATCTCACAATAGCCACACCGCACTGTTGGCATCTTGTTGATCAGCAAGCTGCACAGGCAGACGAATTACATATCAAAAGATGACTTGACGACGATTCAACATGCTCCTATAGTTCTGTTTTTGCTTGAACACGGCTAATATAAAAACGTATGTACTCTCACATCTTCTCCCGCCCTGTGCCCTCCTCTCTCTAATCATACATGTGACGCCTCACGTCAGGAGTAGGTTTGCAGACACTTATTTGGTAGCATCTTCACAGCGGCATGAAAAAGTTTCCGCCTAGTTCTTTTTTGCCCAGGCCACATCCAAGGCCTAAGCCTGCACGCAAAACCCAACAGAATGGTAGCTCATCCCATGCGAGCCATGTTTCGCATCTACTTAGAGCTCTACAACCTCATATACATGTGAGGATAATCATGAAAAGGCCTATGCAAACAGAGTAATTGCACGTGTCTCGTACCGGTCGCCAATGTGAAGGTTGCCTATATACACATGTCACGGAGATACTGTACGGGTTAAGACGTAGCCCGAAGTTTACGTATAAGGTATACAATAACAGCAATAGCAACAAAAGAGTAGTGCTCTGCTTATATTGTTATAGTAAAAAGTATCCTGGTCTATAAGGTTACAGCCTCAACCAAGTATTGCAGGCCACGTAACGGGCATGCACAAGATAAGTTACCTTTACCGTCTGCATATCTACCTTTTCATAGTACTTACTGATCATAAGAGTCTCCCACACGCCCGAGCAGAAACCCCACAGTGACGAAACGATAAAGAAGAGCGGATTGCTGGCTGCTGTATGTTCGCTTGCTTGTGGACTCCACGAGGACATCAATAGAAGCATGAGTGCGTTGAGAAGGAGGGTGCCGAACACGAGAGCCGGCCGATTTAGGCCCGGACAGGATAACAGGACCAGCGACGTTAGTAGATGTAGAACAGCTGCTAACAGGACGACGAACGACAACGCATACAATGATGGAGCACATGAAATATACAGCTAATGTAATCATCATGATCATCATCACCGTGTTGAACGAAAGCAAATATTTGGTTGAATTCCCGCGTGTCAAGAAGCGGTAATGGCGTCAGCGGCGAAACGATGGTGAAGCACGCCGTCGGCGTGGTGAAGCCAGCAGCGTGAGAAGAATGGTTGATAAAAACGGGTAGATTATGACGATTCACACAGCGGAACCAAATAGCGCACGACAGAGGAGAAATATCCAAGGGCCCGGTGGAGTATGACGGAGAAAAGAAGCAGGGGAGGGAACATAGTGTTTAATAGGTTAGTTGATGTTATTAAAGAATAAAAATTGGTTTATTTCGTCGTCGTTATCACTGACAATTTCGGCTGTTGGCAGCGTAGTGTTTTCATTTTTCTCCTATTTGCACTATTGTTTAAAAGCCATGTATAAGCTTACGTAATAGACTTACTAAGCCACTAAGTGAAATATAAGCTAGTGACAATGTGGTGCCATTGTGCTCACATAGGACATCCAAGAGAGAACGGCAGTCTACAGCGTTAAAAGGTCAATACATTGAAAGCCACTAAAGCAAAGCTTCAGCAGAGCGCCCCGTTCGTTCTGCCGGTCACGTTAATCTGTTTGTCAACAGATGCCTACCATCACGGAATACTTCTGAAAACAGATCTACGTTTGATATTCGTGACGAGAACTTAGATACGCAGTATGCACAGCAAGCAGCTTTGCCATGGACTACTACTGAGACGCGCGTGATTTAAACTGATGAGCAACGGAAAGGATAGGGTATCGTCGAGTTGTCACCGTAAACAGGATGTTTGTCGGCGGGAGTTGTTCGGAAATGCTTTACGTTTCGCTTTGATAGTTTTGCGTCAGCGAAACGTCTGTCGTTTCGGCCTACATTGGAAACACGCTTTATTCTTGAGGTAATCTGAAATTGACATTATAGCCTGGCAGCATCCGAAGTTAGCTGAACGAAACTATTGAAAAGTTCATGCTAATGCCAACAAAATATTTAACTCATATTCAAATCTGTGTGTTGATCTGCATTTAGTTAATAATGGACCTAAGCGTTTTCTTCGATTTGCTACACATTTGCTAACTGAAAATCGTTATATCTAATATAGGCTGATACTTTCAGAGATGGCGTAGCTTTGAGGAGCCCAGTGACCACACTGATGGACCGCGTCCAAACTTGCCTATTACCACAATTGAAGTTCCTTTGAAATTACATAGAGACAAGTGACCTACTCGAGATGAGATCAGCAAATGTCGATTATTTGACTAACTTGAAATTATGTACGCTTAAAAATAATTATTTGCATTTTTAAGGACCCGGTCATTTATTAACCTTTGTACTTATTTTTGAATTTAACGGTAAGCTAACCGATTGGCATATTTAGCCAAAATGGCTATCAAATAGTTTGTAATTTTCAGCAGTACTAAGTGGACATATTATTTATACAAACGGAGCTGGTTAAGGCGATACCTAGTTCGTATCTGGGTTCTGCGTTGATGTCGACATAGCCCAGAATATATCCAATGCGTATTATTAATGTAGCAGGATCAGTGTCACCCGCCAATGCAGGTCTTCGAACTAAACACGTAAAGGGAGTCGGTAGAAATAGAAGCATACACCATACAAAAAAACAAGCAATACCACGCTATACCAGGCCGCTATAGCGATTCATACCTGTGCATTAGCCTCCTCACTAGCTACTGTTTTCCCCACAACAGACTCCTGTTATCCGACAGAAAGGACAACGACCACGGTATATAGCTAAGCTCCATGTAGGAGCCCGTGGACAGTTTTCGACTTTCATACCCCCCACACTGTTGCCCAGTGTGCTGAGTCCCATTCGTTCTGCTGAGGTGTCGTTTTCGGTCTAGCCCCTAAGAAACGCTTGGGACGTCTCCAGGTAGAACGGGCGACGTCGGCGCAGACGCCAACCTACAACGGGGACCCGCTTTACTGCAGTCTTAGCTTTGTGCCAGAGGCCATTGCCTGTTCGCATTGTCATAAATTATTTGCGTGTACACACGATCGCAATCATATAGCACGTGCGTGCATAGCCAGCACCGCCAACAGCAGGCACGATTCCTCTGCGCGGCAATTCCTCGACAACGGTTTTTCGTGCCTTACGTTGCTGACCGTTCCCATCTCGCTACTGCCGCCACCACTGCCGTTTTATTTGGCGTGTGTCATGCTGCACTCTTCATCAAGTTAAGGAACAAGGGAGGAAATAAAAGAAATGTAAAGAGAGGAAGAAGCGTGACACGCAATCAGTGCCACTGCTCCTATCCTAGGTAAAAGAACATGTCTAACTGGATGCATAGAACACCGGATGCGAGTTAAACGTACATCTGAGCAAAGATAACTGGCCAGTAAGTTCTGTCAGGGTCAGCAGTTCAGATTTGTTATCTGTAAAAACGTAGTAGCTACAAAAACGATGAAACACATATTGCGCGCACAGACATAGTGCGCGCATGTAAAAGGGCAACCTTGTCTCACTGTTACTGCATTCTGTGGCCCTTACTTCATTTTCAATGTCGAAGAAGGACTGTGCCCATTATTACTCACCCATGACTACGTTAATGCACGACATTCAAAGATAAATCAATCGTTGCCGCTCGCGTTCTTGCGATTCCAACGCCTCCAAGAACTATTCCTGCCAATACGGCTTCAAGCTTTGAGGTGGTAGGACACAAGAACCTATGTCCCCCAATTTTCGAGACAATTCTCATTCATCAGTCTAGGATGACCAAAGAAGCAAAAATTTGTTTTTTCCAACAAAAGAACATCGCTTCCTTTATAAATAGACATTATTTGCCCATTTTCTTCGTTCCTGGTAAAGCAAGCACTTATATCGATGGGTCCGAGTGCAATTGCACTTCCGTACCAGTTGTTTATATGCAGGTTTCAATGTTCATTTTAGTTAGATTCAATCAGCGACAATAGTTTGTCTCTACGAATAGCACATAACGCCGACCCAGCCAAAAGGAAACATCGTCCTAACAAAAAGGTGGTCCTATGCAGTGAATGAACGTATCCTTCATCGCTTTCTTTACCATCGCTTATCCAGCAAAGTGGAGCGGCAGCAGACTCCTGGAGGGGTTGCAACACGGCCTTGATTAGGCTGCCTTCTAGGTCTTTAGCTTCTGATTAAATCTGTCCTGTGATGCCTAATCAGAAAATAATTATGGGCTCATCGACAACGCTCTCTCCTAAGGCCTCGAATCTGAGTAAATCACTAACGTGGCAAATGCATAGAAACATTTACGAACCTTATTGTTATATTAGGAGAAAGAAAGAGAGTAGGGTCATGTTGAATATATATTATGTTCACAGATGTTGTCACCTATGGTCGCTGTTTACCTATTCGTTCTTTTAATGTTTTTGTTTTTTCCCGCCCACAGGTCGTGTTTGTTGTTAATTTCTCAAGTGAATCTGGTAAAATGACGATTGAAGATTGAGGTTATTCACAATCAATAGTTATGTTCTTGGAAATTTTAGGTATATAAGAGAGTAGCCTATAAGTCGAGAATTCAAGCAAAAAGGATAACGGAGCTGCTTCCTAGCGGCATACAAGACGCCTAGTGACGAGGAGGAAACGAAGGATAAAGATTCAGCTCAGCAAATAATAGCGAACATTTTAGTCTCGCTACAATCCAACACTAAAAACGTAGCAGACAAAACATAGTGCTAATATATATGATAAATGCTACATGGTAACAAACGTCTGCATAAGAACGATTGGAGCAATTATTTTCTCATAAAATTCTACTGCACTGCTTATGCCCTGTAACGTTGAGTGTTCCTGTCAAATTTCTTTTTTCTATCTACTTATGTTTGTTGTCCTTTAGGCTCTGTCGAATGGCTCCATGAGGTCGAATAGTTTTGACCTGTATTGACTGGCAGAGCAGTTCATGTTGGATGTCAATCGTCAAGGAGAGATCGAGCTTAACGGTTAGTTACAACTGACTGGATTGGCCAGCCTAGCAAATGGGTAAAGGCGCATCATTAAACGATATTGACAGGCCACTCTGCCTCGTCCACCCTCAGCTGTTTCACTTGATGCATGAGACGTCGCCCCAGGAGAGGTACACAGCATGCGCATACAGGTTCAAAAAACGCTTGAGGACGATAGCGCATGCGTTTCAGTCGTGCAATTGCACCATCTGCTATCCACTGTCGTCTGCTAGTGCACTTGCCTGTTCGATTGATTTCGAGAGGTCAAAGCTTCGGGTTCACCCGTGCGGGGCTGGACTCTGCAGCCGGTAGATCTCATGGTGAATTTGCCGAAGCGAGAGGCTACTTTTGAATCAGAAACGGCCAAACATCTCCTACGCTGGATATCAAAGGAGTCCAGGAAACGCTGAGCCGCACTTTAAAATCTCCCTGTCAAGTCCCGGACAGACTCCGCGGGAACGCTGCATTGTACTGATAAGGATAGCAAGCTCGAGATTGCCCAAAGTTCTGTGCTATTTTTGAGCAAGTCGTTAGTGAGCTTAAAATTGGGATTGTACTGTGGCAAAATGCTCAGATGTCGCATTATTTCGGACGGTTATATATTAGGTTCGGACGCACGACGTAAAAGACGCGTGACTCAGCTCGTGGCCGTGTACAACCATCAGGTTCCGATTAGAATAGAATGGATTGACTTATCTGAGGTGTCCAAGGCATGGCGCACGTGTTACACCAAAGAGTATTCTGCTTACGCTGATATTCACCAAACAACAGCAAGAAACGAATGGGTTGAGGGCTCAGAAAGTGGGAAATACGTATATTCTGGAAATGTTTCAGATCCCTATTTGCCGTGTCACATGCATGTTAATAGCAGTATGTAGTAACAAGGTAAATTGTTAATGCCTACTACTATTCTCTATTCTAATTCAGAAGACTTCGACGTAGAGTACGGATATCTTCTGCTCATATTCGATCGTTTTGCTTTAGGCTAGGAGTTTAATGTTAACCGTTCTTGTGCCATTATGTGGCTACAATGATACTTCTAGCTCTTCCGCTCGCTTCCAAATATTCGCGTGCATGCCTCGACTTTAACAAGACAGGATAACGAATTAAAGGTGCTGCTTGTCCAATCATCTGAGGTTCCTCATCAGTTCATTAGGTCTAGGGAGTTAAGACGGTGCAAAATCTCAGAGCGTCTAAAGAGGATGGCCCAGCAATAATATATCACAGACAAAAGACCACTGCTCGTTAGCCTTTAATTATTAATGGAATTCAGCAGCAAAGAAACAGACGAAGCGCTGGGCCCGACGGCTCTCCTATTCTGATAAATTATGGTCTTTCGAAAATTTGGTAGACCGTAGGAATAGATTAGAGGTTTTTTGAGGAGACGCAATCCGAGAAAGCCGTAAACGAAAGTCGATCGTGTGAGACAGGACTTGTGGACGCTATGACTAGTTCGATAACGAAAAACATACACTGTTTAGCGCTCATTCTAGATTTCGTTGGCCTCGTAGTAGTTTTTTAATTGCTTGCCGCTAATACGTATGAGCTGAGAGAAATGCGTTTGGTGCCTCAACCGCAGCCACAAGTCACGTTCGACTTTTACAAAAATCAAATATTGTCTAAAATTGTCTAGCGATAATTGTATGTCTCTCAGCAAACCCATTACATATATTCGTTTCAAGGTAACCAATGAACGAAAGTTTCTAGGCTGATCGCGCCAGTAGTTTGTATGGTCCTGTTCCTGGCAACTGGTCCGTTCGGACAACTACCTATTGCGATGTTAAATGTTACATTACGAAAACGAACACGCTTCCTTGTTCACACCTATGGTCACTTAGCAAGGTAGTTCATCTACGAACTTGATCGGCATGAAATATGTGCCACCTTCAAAGATGATGGTGGCTGGGGGTCCGCACGCGGTTGCAGGGATCGTTGCCCAGCATTGTTCCTTAAGGCAATTCTGAACGAATATTGAAACCAATGTAGGTGAGAGTGCCTCCTCCTATACGTCAATCGCAAATGAAGTCGACTGGAAGTTCGGGCTTTACAACAGCAGCCCAGTTTGCCGTCGCAATGAATCATAATACTTTGCCATGATTTCTGCTACCGTTGCTCGCTGGTCACTCACTGAACGCTGACCCGAGTTAGCCGCCATTTGCACTTGAATAAATACCAGTTTTAGGTCAGGGATGGCCGATGCTGGTAACAGCTCTAATGATATTGTCACCACCAACAACAGCAAAAACACAATAGAAACAACGATGCGCACGATAATGCAGCGGTTCTGATGGAGACAGTAGCGCGGTCATCTACTAATTTTTCGTTGACCATTAACTTGATGCTAGGGCAACGATTAAGTTTTGCAAAACGAAAAGAGCTGGTGGCTGACCCAGTCAGTCTCCATAACCCTAATAGACTATAGGGAGGGATTCCAATCGCTTACTCTTTATATATATATATATTTGTATATAATATTATGTGAATATGCAATAAATAAGAAAATTAAACATTATATTTAGCCAATAGCGTTAGTGCTTTATAGGTACATGTGTGTTCTATATGTTTATGCGAGTTTGTCATGTTTATGATTATGTGAGGCTTGAAATAAAAGAACCAAGCATATCATCGTAAGTGACCTTCAATGGCAACAGACTTGATGGGGGTCTTAAGGGTCATGCAGAATAATGCCAATTATGTATATATATATATACACTAGAGTAAGTAGCACTTAGAGACAGTACCGAACATAAGAATAGAAACACTTGGTTACATGTATAGACTTAGAAATGTAATGGCTGACCTCATAATTTGTGCATGAAGGCCGAGGTAAATTTTTGAAGGAACGTGAACAGTGGTTCGAATCCTGGCACGCAGAAGCGACTGCTATCAGAAGCAACAGTTTCAAAAGGCTCTCTACTTTATTTAAGCAAACGTTTGTAAATTATAACGATGTGAGAATACTATATATAGGAAGCAGCGCCTTTTGATCTATTGTTATCGTACTATAGAAGCACACCTGCGTGAAGTCAGCATTCATGACTCCTTGTTGAAGACCACTGAAAAATGCCATCGGTAACAGAAGTCTCAGGCGCGACTCTGTCAATGAATGTGCGACGGCGCGTAGCCAACGTCCACATACAGCGCGCTCCAGTGGGTCTTGATACTCGAACATCTACAAGCGGGAAAAGACACAGGCATTAAAGACAAGCGATCAAAAAAGCATTATATAACAGATCTACTATCACAACACACCCGTGCAGCTGATATAAGTGAATATATGTTCACTATGCTAATCACCAAAGGTAGCATAGAAGGATGCCTGCAACCAATTTCCTAATTGTACTGCAGCTTCAAAGTCCAGCGGCATTGTGCTGATTAGTTTTTCGTTTTTTTTTTTTTCCAATCCTTATTCTAATTCTCGCACTTCGAACTGCCAACTTTTCATCTAAAGATAACAGAGTTTTCGGTTGCGGTATTGAACGATAGAATCACAGGACCAAGAGCTAAGGACCACAATCATCTAACCTGTTGAATCCTCTTAGTCTCTCTTTAGAATCATCTGCAACTATAACTACTAGATAGCTGCCCTACTTAAGGCATTGTTCCAAAAATGCAAATGATCGTTAACTTAACGCACAGAATCGGCTTAACTTAGTTGGGTACTATAAGGGATATCTTGTGTGCCATAAGTGCATTTCTGAGCCCCGCTATCTTATAGCTGCTACAAGCGTCCTCTCGAAAAAAGACACAGCGCAAAGTTAACACAAAACGCTGTTAAAATACACTAAGACTCTATGCAGGAGCTGCTTTTTTCATTGGCGGTGGGAAAATTTGCGCCTGCGTTGTGTCTTACCCTCGTTACTAACACCACTTGCTGTGAAGCTGTGTCTTGCATCGTGCAGGGTACAGAACACCGTAATTAGTCGCGTTGTGAGATTTTCGCGTGAGTCGCGTAATTAGAAAAATCCTACAGAATACTGGGTTACACTGTACTTACAACCGTCGATTATTATGGACAAAGTCATGCAAGGGATCATTCCTGTGTTCTACCACGTTTGGCTCTATCCTTAATTGCCGACACAGACATATATATAGTATATGTAATGGTACAGCACGTATATATACATATATGTGGGGTCATATAGATTCGCGTTAGGTCAGTGTTGGCGTCGTTTGAAAGCTGAAGCCTGATAGTAGAAAATGTCCCAAATTGTTGCATTTTCGTCATTTAAACATAGAGTAAATTGAAATTTATGCAAAACCTTGCTATAACACTTGCAATTTACAATTTTATCACTATAAAGGCACAAATGCTGCTTCGGCCCGTAAAAAATGCTTTATGGTCAAGGTGCGCCCTCGAAAGAGATGGCTCGAGTATGGTTTTGTCGCTTTCATTCTGAAAATTTTCATGTAAAAAATGCTCTTCGTAGTGTTGTTTAATTACGAAGAACGCCGACAAAAACCGTCGCGTCAGGAGCCATGGTAAACTTTCACCGTTGAATAGTTTTAAGCCAGTTGAAGAAAGCTGGCTATAAAAAGAAAACTCATGTTTGGGTACTGATACAAAATAACTCTCACGATCGTTTTCTTAATCTGCCAACGCAACGAAATCGGCTTATTTCTAAAGTGGTTGATTATGTGTAGTAAGAAGCGGGTCACATACGGAAATTGTACGGAACTTATTATAAATCTGTGCCATTGTGCGGACTGACGCCAAGAAGATGGATGCTATGTACTCAGTAAAATTTGAAAGGAATCATAAATTAGGATTTGCTGCTAACTGGCAAAATGAGCGTTTCAGACTTCTATAAAACGTCATTAAAAATTGACCGGAATCAGTAATAGAAAAGGTGTCGTCTTCCACCATGTCAATGTTAGACCACGTATATTGTCCGTAGCTTGACGAAGATTGAAAGGACTTCGATGGGAAATTTCAATGTGTCCGCTGCATATTACACTTTTAGGCTATTGTTTCCTTCGGTTTCCATAGAACCTCGTTAACGGTGTCCATTTAGTTTTAATAGAGGAATTCAAAAATTATTCGTCACAACTTTTCATCTAAAGATCTTAAAATTTTTACAATGATTGGATTATAGTGTTATCAGAAAAATGGTAAAAGGTCATCACTTAACATGGCGTATATTTAGCTTAGTAATATTACTGTAAAGCAGGACAATTATATATATATATATATATGTTTAGTAGGTGGCCTTGTTAATGGATCTTGTTCCCTGCGACAAGCTAACTCCATAAATATAGTAATCCGTTGTCGAGTTTGTCGCTATTAAAAAAAATCTCTTTTTTCTTGGCTATGTTGTTTCTACATGCGCATCGATAGCTGAAGTAGTCTGGTGGGTCAACTTCATAAATGGCCACATCTAAATTCGGGGTCCAAATGGATTAATTTTATTATAGCATAAACAAATTACCTGTGTTTCTTTACATATAGAAATTTTTTTTACAATAAAATAAATAAGTTTGCCTGTTTTTATTAGGTAACAATGTGGTTTGTTCAGATACGAACTTACGAAATAAAGTTAAATATTGTGTTGCTTATTATTACAGATAATGAGTCGATGTAAGATATATTTTTTGTATTACGCTAATCGAGCTCTAAAAAAGCGTAGATATTCATCACTGCCCGACCACCTTCAGGTGTTAGTCGTACCGCAATCGCCTGCGTTAAATTGGTTTGCGGGTAATCTAAGTGTTCACGCATGGATCCTATGAAAGTTCGAGCTTGCGCGTAGAAAAATCCGCATTTACTGAAACTCCATTTCAATACAGTATTTCCTAGTGGTTAGCAGGCCATCAATGTGAAGGTAATACATTTCTTCATGGTTACGGCTCGGGCACTCAACCTGGCCAAGAATAGTCAGCTTTGATCGACAAGGGTACAAGAGTTCGGGAAAAAACGAATCAGTACTTTCGAAGGAAGGCCAATTTCTCGCCCACCATGTCAGATTCAGACCTATGCAGCCCTGATCCGACTTTAAGGCTAATTCTTAACTACATGAAATTTAATTGAGAGATAAAGCTTTTTTCGTCATCCACGAAAGGAGATGTTTGCATCTGTCACCTGTCCTATATTGTCTCGTACATGTAAGCCAATGCAACAAGTTTTGCCAAGTATTTTTTTTTTTTATCATATATGTGATATTTTATAAATTTGGTCTTTCTATTGTCGATTATCACAACAGTCTTTTGTTCAAAGCATTCATCTCGTCTACTCCACTAATTTAGTCTACAGTGGTAATGCAAGTCCGCTCTTTGTCCTTGCAGTTTTTACCACGGTTATTCTCCTTGCCAGCTACTGATTAAATAAGGTTGTTTTGTTCAGCCTTCTATAGATGAGATCGGCCCTGATCTACTATACTTCTTGATCAGCTAAGAGTCGAAAGAGCTACCAGGATAACGTACCTTGGAAACGCTGCACATGATACGAGGCAAGAACTTATCTTGCCTTTACTGTCGCTTTTAAGCCTACTGGCTCTTAACTGCCTTAACCCGTTGTATCTTTATACATACACACCCAAACACATGAAAGACGTTGCCTAGCCTGTTTTCCATGCATACACGAGCCGATACGACGGAGATCCCGGCAATTAAGCACAAGACTCAGTTTATCCCAAAAGTAGGTCGGTCGGCTTTGTGACGATGTCCAGAACGGGCGCATGCCATACCAAGCAGGAATGCTGCTCTGAATACTAGGCGCATCAAAAGGAAGGCAAAAGCACTCTCGAAACAGTTGGCTATAACGGAATTTACACCTCTCAGTACCAGGAGGCTGCATGATCTCTGCCACGTCTGTATACTGAGCACGCACAAGGGGCGTGAGACGCCGCCGTTGCAGCACTGTGGAGCACTTCCTTGCTATCTATATAAGTTCTTCTTAATTTTCTATGAAGAAAACGCAGCATGTGATACTCTGATGGTTCACGCCAGTGCAATTTTATCTCTGCCTCCTATCTCGTCACCTGGTTTCACCACTTTGTTCACTACTTTAAGAGCGCCAAGTTATTGTCGGGCAACTCTTAGGCTCTTTGCTTCTTTGTAGCCTGACACAGACGCCTGCTGGTTCGTATCGAAGTCTCCACAAGCGGAACTGAACGACACCGTTGTGCGTTATGCTCCATAAGTGATCTAAGATAATTTACTGAGGCGCCTTTTGCCTGCGTCACAAGCAGCCTCCTGTGTCCTTTGTGTAGCATGATACGAAAGCGTGGCCCCATGTTAGTTCACCCCTTAGTCGGTCGAGTCGATACTAGACAACGTTGACATCGACGTACACATAACGCCACAAAGCATCGTAGTTCCATAGATTGATCGCCGTCTAGTCATCTTTCTAGAGCTTTGTGTAGGACTTACTCTAGGAAGCTGCACAGAGTAGAGTACCGCCTGACGGAAAACGCGTAGGCTTCGTCGACCCTGACGTCGGCACTTTTGTAGTGTATGTGCGTTCATCGTGTGCACGCGACGGCAGCTTAATACCCCAACTACATCTATTGCTATTACTATTACTGTCTAGACATTTTCCTCTAGCGTGAGTCCCCTGCGTTTTTCTTATGGGCGGGCTCCAGGAAATGAATGCTGCTGGGAAAACTCTTATCCGCCTGACCATCCTATTATTATAGAAACAGCATACCAGCAGCGGCTGCGAAAAGTAAATTCTTTCCTTACTTCAGGTCCAGCGGTTCCGACGATTTTAAGTCCTGCAGAACTGTCAAAGAATTGTTGTCCTTGTGAGAACAGCACTAGCAGTTGTGTGGCCGTGAGAAAGATCAAGGGTCTAGGTGTCCTATTTACCGTTGGCTCTTTTCCCCGGTTCGTCGTTGCCTGCGTTCCGGAAAATGACATCCAGACATGACGATAGACGACCTCGACTTTTCGTTTTGACGCGGAACCGAATGACTCAATCATCAACGGTCCCAAAGGTCCAGTGCACAAAGCCTGCTCCTAGCCGGCCAGTAAGACGAGCAAGCCCACTAGCCTTTCAGCGCCCCCTTTCAACAACACCGCACTACCACGAAGCCGTTTGTGTCTATACTCGCTTGCTCATCCGGCCGTGTACCGTCGTGTGACACAAAGCACGGCTGCTGGATATGAGCCCTTTCCTTTGATACCATACAGACAGGATACGTCGCGTCCATCAACTGCCGGAAAGGCAACAGG